TGGGGCAGCTAGGGGCTTGGCTCACACTGGGTCATGCTCCTGCAGGTTTCAATGTGGAGACTGTGGAGTACAAGAACATCAGCTTCACCGTGTGGGACGTGGGTGGCCAGGACAAGATCCGGCCTCTGTGGCGCCACTACTTCCAGAACACACAAGGTGAGGGCATGGGGCCATGGCCTATGGGAGAGGTTGAGTGCCCTCAGTGCCTTCACTAATGCCTGTTCCTTGGCAGGTCTCATCTTTGTTGTTGACAGCAATGACCGAGAGCGTGTGAATGAGGCCCGAGAGGAGCTCATGCGGATGCTGGCGGAAGACGAGCTCAGGGATGCTGTTCTGCTCGTGTTTGCAAACAAGCAGGTACGTACTTGAGTGCTACTAAGCCACCCCAAGGGGCTGGGAGTCTGAAGGGATCACAGGTCAGATGGGGAGGGGTCCCAGTCTTCCTCATGACACATGGCTGCCATGCCACCCTGCCCTTTCCACCAGGACCTCCCCAACGCCATGAACGCAGCTGAAATCACGGACAAGCTGGGTCTGCACTCTCTGCGCCACAGGAACTGGTACATTCAGGCCACCTGTGCCACCAGTGGGGACGGGCTCTATGAGGGACTGGACTGGCTGTCCAATCAGCTCCGGAACCAGAAGTGAGCCGAACTCTTCTCTTCCCCCCTCACTCCCTCCTTCACCCTTGCTTTCCTCTCATGTGGCAAATGTGCCCCTGTGGTGTGAGTGCCAGAAGCTGTCTCCATGGTCGGTCCCAGTGTGCTTCATCATGCTGTACATGTGCAGACGCAGCCTGCAACCGGGTTTTTATTTAATGTAAATAGTTCTTGTTTCCATTGAGGCAGTTTCTGGTACTCCTATGCAATATTACTCAGCTTTTTTTATTGTAAAAAGAGAATCAACCCACTGTTTAGTACTGAGAAGGGATTTTAGGCACCCGGGGCCTCTAGGAGTTGCTGTGAGATCAGCTCAGTGCTCCTCATCTGGGCTTTAGATCTGTGTTGAGATCCATTTTGGTGGTTGGTTTTTAACCCAAACTCAGTGCATTTTTTTATAATAGTTAAAAATACAAGGTAAGGAGACACTTGAACACAGAGAAGGGAGAAATGTGCCTAGTGTAGGTTCTGCAGTAATGGCTTGAGTCCAGTCCACCTGTGGTCTGTCTCCCGTCTGGAGCGTGCAGTGGGCAGAACCAGCCACAATACATTCTGCATGGTCACTTACAGTCCCTGATTGGCTCTATCTCACTGGGTCATTGCATCCCATAGCATTTGTGCTTGTACCTGTGCTTACACCACTGCCCAGGGAATGGGGTGGGGGCTGCAGCCACCATTCACCCCTTAGAGGGACCGCAGCCTTCTCTTGGGTCAGTGTGGGTCAGCATAGGTGCTTTGGTGGGACCACTCTGGTCAGAACAGGAGCCCCCCCATGGTCCCCAAGCACGCTCACTTGCTCCAGGTTGCCTGGGTCTCACTAGTAGGAGCGCAGACAGGTGGCCAGTCATCTTAGAGTCTAGCTCCTCAGAGCCCCTGCCCCGTCCACATGTGCTTTCACTCCCTCAGCCTGCAAGGATCAGATTTGACATCAAAAACAACAACCTCTACTTTTTTCTTTTGTATTTTGATAAACACTGAAGAAGCTGGAGCTGTTAAAATTTATCTTGGGGAAAACCTCAGAACTGGTTTATCTGGTGTTGTGGAACCTCTTACTGCTTTCAATACACGATTAGTAATCAACTGTTTTGTATACTTGTTTTCAGTTTTCATTTCGACAAACAAGCACTGTAATTATAGCTATTAGAATAAAATCTCTTAACTATTTCATGGCTTTCCAGTGCTTGGGTGCTGCTGAACAAGGCTGGGACATAGACAGCAATGGCTTAGGGAATATGGCCAATCCCTGACCTACCCAGACCAGTTTTCCTGCCAGTACCCCTGGGGGGCTTCCTCATTAATCCCCTGGCAGTCCAGTTCCCAGTCCTGGTCCAGTCTTCGTGATGCCAGGCCTAGAGAGGACCAACAGGTCCCCATGTGGGGTGTGCCTAAGAGGCCAGGACCTGGGATCATCTGTGGAGATGCCCCTAGAAGGGATGGAAGCCCTTGGTCTATTTCCCTATCATTGCTTTAGGAGCATTGCCATGGTGCCCATTGGGTGCTGTGGGCCCCCTACCTGCTCCTTGGGGGCTGTCCCTTTGACCTGGAGCCCTTCTGGGCACCGTGCTATCTGGCCAATCCAAGATCCAGGTGTCCTTCTTCCAAAGGCATCCAGCCCTGTGTGTGGCTCAACTCTCTGCCCTGTTATCTAGTCTCACTGACAGGTTGAGAACCAGGGCCAGGGCATTGAAGACAGAGGCAAAATTGAATATATTTTATAACAATGAATCTAGCCTGGGTTTTGTCTTTACTCCAGTGCGATTGTAAGTTTTCATTCTTTTGTGGATGAGGTGGTGAGTGGCTGCAGGTATACCCCCCAGCTGGAGGGGGGAAAGGGGTGGTGCACCTAGAGCTCTGCACTGCCTGGAAGAAGCAGAGCAGACTCATGGGGTATGGGGCAGCAGGTCTCTGGATAGCTGAGGAAATAGTGTCTCTCCAAGTACAAGGTTACCTCCACCCACCAATTATAAGCACCCAATCTGGCTGCCTTCTACCCCAGCACTCATCCACCTCAGAAAGACCCACCTGCAGGTTAGCAATTTCTGGTCCCTCCACCCTCTGCTGGCCACTAGGAGTCCCCCACCCAGTGAGGTCTAAGGTGGTACTGTTGGAACCCAAGGCATTCAGTACACTTTTACACATCACTTTCTATTGGAACACGTAACCTTCGCCTTAAAATAAGTTTATTTAAGTACAAAGGGTGAGTCAAGATAAAGAAAAATAGAAGTAGCAGTATTTGGAGCCTAAAGTAGGTGGACCTCTTCTGGGCAGGTTTGTCTTCCCTTTGTGCGCCTAGGGCCATCTGGGGGTGAGGCCTCACCTAGATACCTTGCGTGCTTACAGGGTCCTGGTAGGGCCCCCAGAAGCCTTCCCTCCAGCTCCCTGGGCCTGGCAGGGCACATGCTCAAAGGCTTCACTGAGGACAGGGCCTACCTGGAGTGAACAGGGTCCTGGTGGGCTGCGCTTCAGTTGCTTTCATGCCCTTGCCTATTGGCAGCAGGGAGAGGAGGAGTCAGAGTTGTGCCTGCAATGGCAGGCCCTGGGGAGACCGGGGGATGCCCATTGTGAGGAACTGCCTACTACCTGCCCAGCTCCAAAGGCAGAGCTGCTGCACCTACCTAGCAGGAGCCAGTGACAGCAAGGAGGCTGCCTTGGTCCTGTGCTTTTTTCTCTCCTCTTTCTTGTGCTTTTTCTTCTCTTCCCTGCTCTTGTGACTCCTGGCTGTGAGGGGGGTACACAGTGCCAGGCCCACCACAGTAGTCACTGCATATGGCTATATCACAGAGTGAAGTTCCTCAGTACTACACATAGCCAGTGGCTGGCACAGTGGGCAGCTCCAACAGGGACCTTCCCATCTAGCAAAAAATTTGTGGGGCGTTCTCATGGTTCCTTCTAACATTCTCTGCCGGGTAGTGCCCCCTTCTGCACCCCACACCTCTCACTTGGCCTCCAGAGTGGCTACTGCTCTCCACACTGCTCCTGGGCCTCTAGAGTAGCATGTGGCTCCATGCCCTTGGGGCTCCCTGGGCTCACAATCTACAGAGGATCCCAAGAAGTAAAAGGGGCCTAGAACCAGGAAAATCACTGGCTCAAGAGGGAGTCAGCAGGCCTGCTGAGAGTCCTATATGCCCCAGCCAGCCCTTACCAGGGTTCTGCCTTCTCAGGCCTCTGGTTTTTCGGGTCTGGGGAGGCCCTGGCTGCTCTCCACGTGGTGGCGCTGCTCTTAGGGTTGTGCAGGGCTCCCCGACATGGCGACCAGGGTGAACCAGCCCTGGTTTCCTGGGCCAGGGAGCCAAGGGTCCCTGAGGGAAGATGGCCCATCCCCAATCCTCAATAGGAACGACGCACCCAGACCCCTATCCCCATGAAATCCTGGAACATTTAGGGGCAATTATTGTGAACACCAAGAACGCCAGCTTAGCTGCTCGGGACAATGCCAGTCGGCCAGCGGAGCCACTGCGGAGACACCCGGTGAGGAGCCCCCCTACACACACACCACCCCCCGGATCCCCCAGCTCTTCCTTGCAGCTACCAGCTTCCACTTGGGCTGACAAGGCCGAGCCCCTAAGACCTGCACCCACCCTGGATCTTACCAAGTACCCCCCCCTTCATTAGGACCCCCCACACACACCCTGCACCTAGAGCTCCCCAGACCCAGAAGCCAGTCCACTCCCTTCTCAGGGTCACTTTGTGCTCCACAAAATCCTGTGGGAGGGCAGGTGCTTGCAGCTGTGCGTAGTCAACCCCAGGGGGCCACCCCTTACCTCCTTGCTTGGCCAGTAGGCTTCTTCGCGTTCTTGTAGCCTCTGCGGAAGCACGCGTGAATGTCTGGGGCAGCAGTCCTCGCCTCAGCCCCTCGCTTTCCCGCTGTGCCCCCGTTCTCCTGCAGTCGCCCTGTCCCCGGCGCACTCACAGCGCCTCCTACTCCACCTGACTCACAGCCACTGGCTTCAGTTCTGGGTTCATCACCACGCAGTTCACCCAGCCCTTAGCGTACCAGGTGAGGTTTATGCTCACCAGGACCATCAGCAAGTTGCCTGCAGGAAGTGAGGCCAGCCCTCAGCTCACAAGTCAGCGTGCACTGTGACCCTGCTGTGAGCTCACCCAAGTAGTTCTCCCTCTACTGGTCGGTCTTCACATCTTGTCTTCCCAGCTGAACTGGTCCTGTGCGTCCATCTCCCCCTGCCCTGCCCCTGTTCACGCCGCTTCGGCTGGAGCCAAATACGGTTCCAGGCTCTGAAAGGGCAAAAGCTGGTCCCAAGTGCCTGGCTGGCACTACAGCCATTGTTAGAAGTCACTTTGTGTGGTAATGCCAGGATCCAGGGGTGGCCTCCGAAAGACACCGTCTCCGATGTGTGCTGTGTACCGGGGCCCACAGACAGGTGCCCCAAGGAAGTTGGGGAAATGAGTCTCCAGAACACCGAAGTTCCCGCCATCACGTCTGTGGCTGTGGGAGCCGGGGGTCAGCCACAGCACTGGGACCCTGCTGTGGTCACAGTGGGGAGGGGCGTGAACACGCATGGCATCGCTCTTGGTTTGTGGCAACACCGGGGAGAACGTCTGCCCCAGTGCAGGCAGAGTCCACGCAGGCATGTGGCACTCACTGCTGATGGCTCAGCATGCTGGTCGTCAGACAAGTGCATCCCACCTGGCAACACCACGGGTCACAGACCTGACTCAGTGACAATGGTCACTAACCCTAGGGTGGCTGCAAACTTGGGACTTAAAACAGGGTGTCTCCTGAGTTGCCATTTCTATGGGTTCTTTTACAGGATGCTGCCCTAGTGTGTACCCTGCTTATGTGGCCTGTAGTTACTCAGTGGGTAAGGCAATGGTAAAGCCTCTCTCTACCTGCTCTCCTGGCCTGCATCCACTGAGTCCCTCACTAGCTTTTTGGGGGCTCCCACAGTTGGCAGTCAACTGGGTTGGGGCCCCAACCTTGTAGTATACCTACCACTAAGTAAAGTCTGAGCCTCACCTCCCCCACATGGGTGCCCGACTTGCCCTGCACAAGCTCAGGAGCCTCCAGTGTGGGACAGCAAGTCCAAAGCCACAGATGGGCCCTTTGCAGGATCCCAGCTTTGCTGGGGAGGGAAGTGTGTGGTGGTAGGAGGCCATGGGACCTCACAGGGCGGCTGTGGTGGGTCTAGAGGCAGTATTGCCATATCTGACAAAGGCTGGATGCCAGCCTGGAGGCACTGGGGAGCAGCAAGGTCAACTCTAAGCCTGCCCCCCCCTAAATCCACATCCCTACCTGGGGAAGGCCTAACCATATTCTGGATACTGGGGTTACCAGCATCGATGGCATTTTATGGTGAGGTGACTGGGGATAAGGGGGGACAGAAGAGACATGGGAGGAGCTGAGGGGCTATAGGGAGCCCCATCACCTCCACCACTACCCTAACGGAGTGCAGATGGGACTCTGCTTGACCCTTCTCAGGCTCCTCAGAGCTCTCCCACCAGGCCTTGAGCCTCAAGGTCCATCTTTACACTTCCATTACTGGCAAGAATCCCCACCCTCCACAGAAGTCTGATCACCTGCCTGCCTGCCTTCAGTAGCAATCCTGTTAGATGGGTTTAACCAGAACTCCCACTGGGTGAGTAATCATAGTAACTTCCTAACACTGACTCCTACCCACCTCCTGGCACAAATCCCCCCTTTTCTGTGCAATACTTAGCCTCTTCCCCACGCTCACTCCACCCTCCACTGCATCCACCACCACAGCCCTACCCTGAGTAAGGTCTGCCTTGCCATCTTCAACAAGTGCCATGAATAACTTGGCCCTAAACAGTGAGTGCAGATACTGGGTGCCTCCCTGCAGGTAAGTGGTAAGCAGTAAGCTGGGGCAGCAGCTAAAAGGATAAAGGATCCAGGGAGGCTGCCCAGGTGGGAATGTCCCTGAGACCGGACAGTTCGCAGATCCTGGAAGGCAGCCGCCCTCAGGAGCTGCACATGGCTGGGAGTCCACGGTGGGTACCCAGCCTAACATCCTTCCCTGTGAGCTGCCATCAGAGGCAGGGTCACATTCCACAGAATTTTGCCTCCCTGGTCATGGCTGGAATGCCCTCCCTGCTGTCTATCTATATGGCAATGTCCTACCATGGCCCTCAGGTTTATGAAAAAGCCTGACAGCCAGTGTCCCATGATCAACCCCTAGCACAGGACAAGGTGCAGCCCCAGGCCTGGGCCAGGTCAGTTGCTTGTATAAAGGTTTGGTAGTTGCCCCCTTAGGTCTTGCAGGAAAGGGCAAAAGGTGGCAGCCCACCAAGGCTCTTAGCTCAGACTTGAAAAGTCAGCGATGGGGCTGGCTGCTCCCCTTCTCCTCTCTGTCAGGGAACATCTTCCCACAGCCAGGGGGCAGGGCTAGGGGAGCATCAGAGAGGGGCAGAGCATGCAGCTGCAGGCTAGGCGCAAACATCCTTGGATCACACCCACTCCCCATGCCACTGTGCTCCCTGAGAGAGCCCCTAGTACTGAGGCAAAGGCAGAGGGGGCTCCAAAGCCCAAAGGAGTGGCTAGGCAGTACCAGACGCTTCCTGCAGTGAGAGAAGCACCCACAACTTCTGTCACGTAGACAGCTCATGTGCCCTTTGAGCCTCCTCTAAAACTGCAATTTGACCCAACTCTGAGCCCTCCAGTGAGTTTAGTCGCAGAGAGCCCATCCAGTAGATGTATGAGAAAGACAGACAAGGTGGATTTAAAATCCTGATACTGAATTTAAACATGAATGCCCCTCCCCTTCTACAGCATCCTGAACCAGGGCAGCTTGTGGGCATGGTCACTTCTTGGTCCAAAACTGCTTGTACTGCTCCAGGTCAAAGCTGTCAAGGAGCTCTGGCTCCTCCTTCCCTTGGAGCTGGATCTCACGTTTGCGGAACCGTGCCCGCCTCTCCTCCTGGGATAGGGCATCCAGGTCCACAGGCATCTGTTGAGGAAGGGGGGGGGGG